TAACGTAGTTACTGTAACGCGTTACTTAATAACGCGTTAGTCCCAACACTGGTTACATCACACTAAACTGAATAGATTTCATTTATCGTTTAATATCCCCCATCTTTGAGGAAAACTTACAGAAGTACCATACCATAAACCCCGAGAACCGAGGAAAAAAGTGTCTTTCAGTTGAACCTTTTTGGTAATTTCCTGCCTCTTTTGAGCAAAAAGAGGCCAGCCAAACAAATAAGATATAATTGAAAAGGCCAGGATGTTCTCAATTGAGGACATCAGGACTTAACGTTACTGTTACACAAACACTTAAAAACACAAAGGTGAGACCCTTATTTTTATTTTTTTATTTTTTTTTGAAAGAAGGCTCATGCACACTGCTCAAACGAGTAAATCCATTTCACCTGCTTTGTTTCAAATCAAAGTGGCAGCAAGATGGAGCCCCCCTCCCCAAAATAAGCAATGGTTGTGCAGATGTTGACTACAGACCCTTGCTCGGAACTTACTTTTCTCTCGTTTTGCTTTTTGCTGGTGTCTTTGTGAGTCCTGGTAGCATGAGACGTCACCTACAGCCCAACTGCAAAAGCCCGATCCTCTCTATGCTTTAATCTGCTTCTCAGTACACCTGGATACAGGAGTCGAGCTACAGCATTTTGAACAAGCAAGAGATGTGAACGCAGAGCCTGACTAATGCCCAAATATAAGCTAGTGTGATAACCAAGCCTGGATGACATGAAGCCATGAATCACTTTCTTGAAGGTCTGTGTTTTGCTGTAGGCAGCATTCAGACATTGTTTGGGTAAACATCAGAGGGTTAAGTAGATCCTGATTAGAGAGATGATGAGGGATCTAAAATGCTACTGCTCCCTTGTTAAATGGCCTCACCATCTTTACTCGTCATGCCATCAGGTTTGTCGGTTGGACAGCTGCAGAGGTGGAGCAGTCGCCCCAGGGTGTGGAGTTCGCAGCAGGCCTGCCTTGGCTTTAGCCCACAGTATTATTACAGCACCCAGGAGGCAGAGAAAGAGCCAGAGGAGGAGCCTCTGCACAATATCATCAGTGATACAGAAGCTGTGCAAGGTACTGGGACAGCTGCAGACATATTTCCCATGAAAGCTTGTTCTCAAATTCTGAATGTTGCTCTGCCTTTGATCTTTCAGGTAGTTTCCACAAACATGAGTTTCAGGCTGAAACCAAAAAGCTGCTGGATATTGTCGCCAGGTCCCTGTACTCAGAGAAAGAGGTGGTGTAAATTGGACAAAAGCTACTATCATTACAGTTTACCTTCACTGCTCTCCTCTGACTGACTTGTCTTTCTTTCAGGTCTTCATCAGGGAGCTCATCTCTAACGGCAGCGACGCACTGGAAAAACTGCGCCACAAATTGATATCAGCAGGTGGTGAAACGGCTCCAATGGAGATCCACCTGCAGAGTGATGCAGCAAAGGGCACCTTCACCATTCAGGTACACCTGTTTACTGACTGTAGAAGTTTTGGACAAGTTTTAGAACAGGAAGGATAACATTAGATCAGAAAGCGAGTCGTAATCCTAGCAGATCAGCTGAGCTCGGTGCCAGCAAAACACCAGCCGATGGCTCAGCTGTTACCTTTCCCTGTATCCAGTCTTAACCAGGATAATTCTAAATTTGTTCAAGCTGCTTTGCAACCCATCTCCACCCCAGGACCCCCTTTTTTCTTGCATTGTTACTTACTTAAATCAGTAGCATATCTCTGCTTTTTATGTCCTGAGATCCATACAGCCAGCTATAAATAATTATAGCAGGTTGTTCCTAGTGCTTCTAGTGCACTTGAAGCCCTGAGATGGTTTACTGCCCCCTGCTGGTAAATGGGATACAACACACTAGGATAGCTTAACTCTTGAGTGACTGATTTCTATATTCCAACAGGACACAGGAATCGGCATGAACAAGGATGAGCTGGTGTCTAACTTGGGCACTATCGCCCGCTCTGGTTCTAAGGTGAGTGCTTCATTGTGACATTACTTATCTGATATAGCGCTCCTGTTGTAAGTTTGGCTTTTAAAATGCAGCATCGTGTTTTCTGATGCTCACTCCATCTGTCATCATTGTAACTTTCTCCCCACTGTAGGCGTTTTTGGACGCTCTTCAGAACCAGGCGGAGGCCAGCAGCACCATCATTGGTCAGTTTGGTGTTGGATTCTACTCCGCCTTCATGGTGTCCGACCGCGTGGACGTGTACACTCGCTCGTCTGAGCCCGATGCACCTGGATACAAGTGGTCCTCAGATGGGTGAGAGCAAAGAGTGGCTGTAGAGAGGTATCCTTGGTTTGAGAAGGGCTGCTGTGAATCAGAAGTGTAATCCTCAATATCTCACATGGTCTCCCTCAGCTCTGGGGTTTTTGAGATTGCTGAAGCCACCGGCGTTCAACAAGGAACAAAAATCGTGCTCCACCTCAAAGACGACTGCAAGGAGTTTTCCTCTGAGGACAGAGTTAAAGGTAAAAGTGCTGTCGCTGCTTTGGTAACTGTAGGACGGCTGCAGTGAGGAGACGTATTCATGCATCAGTACTTATTGTTTCTGTTTCAGAGGTTGTAACAAAGTACAGCAACTTTGTAAGCTTCCCCATCTTTCTGAATGGACGGAGGCTCAACACTCTGCAGGTGAGCTGCTGTTCTCCTGTTTTGGATGCAAAGATTGTCACTGAATGGTCCAAACTCACAAAATAAATGGCACAATTGTACAGTACTGTGTAAAAGTCTTTAGCCGCCCCCGATTTCTTTATATTTTGCCTCCATGGAGCCAAACGTTTGCTCCTTGTGTTTGTCCTCGTACCTGACAATTTTAACCAGAATGTTTTTGTTTGGTTGTTTGCTTTTTAATCCTGACCTATGAATGATTTAAGTATTAAAAGGCATTAACAAATAGTAAAACTATTGTTATTTCTTTATTTTATTTGACCTTAGTTTGTTTTACAAGTTCCAAAAAAACCAATTCAGTTAGATTAAATGTTTTCAAAAGTGTAGTTTTTGCCCCTCAGCCCTGAAAGGCTCATGGGGTATTGTCCACCCACTGGGTGGACAGGCATGTGGTGTGGACACCTAAGTTTGTGAATGCAATAACTTGAGAATGAGGTGACGTAGGAGGAAATTGATACCATGGGGTGCATCTACTAAAAAACCTGGATAAGTTCAAATCTTGGTGACCTCAACCTGAAAGTCACTGTAAGCTTTCCAAAAATCTGGTGTATGGGATAACTTAAGAACAAGACGACATAGGATTTTGAAATGAATACCATGGGTGTGTCTACTAGGAGGCTCCTAGTAGACACAGTACTGGGTAGCACTGTCAGTCATTAGTATTTAATTAGTTAAGTTGTATTTAACTGTAATAATCTTGGTGTCTGTTTTTGTGGCATTTTGTTGCTAGCATAAAAATCCAAAGACAGCAGGCATAAAATAGTATTTTTAAACCAACAAGCTGATTCCCAAAGAGCTGTCAGCCCAAATTTGATATACATCGTAGCTGTGTATGTTGTGCAGTTTCCTTAAAGAATTTTAGGCACCTGGAGAGGTGGGAGACAAAAGAAGAAGTATTAAAGTGGGGTTTTTTTTAACCTTTATTTATACAAGCAGTTTCATTTAGACTCAGTGTCTCATTTACAAGAGAGCCCTGTTTCAGACAAACATATTAAAAATACGACAATGAAAATAATAATTTTTAATAATCGCTGTCTGTCTTCCTTCAGGCCTTGTGGATGATGGAGCCGAAGGAGATCAGTGACTGGCAGCAAGAGGAGTTCTACCGCTACGTCGCTCAGGCTTACGACAAGCCACGCTACACTCTGCACTACCGCGCCGACGCCCCGCTTAACATCAGGAGCATCTTTTATGTCCCTGAAGCGGTGAGGAGTATTTCACAATGCAAACTTGACTTCAGTTGCTGTTTGGTTGCAAAGCTCTGTGAGAATCTTCATTTAGGAAACCGGCTGGTGTTCAGGTCCAGTACTGATAGATGACGTAAACTTTACAGCTAAATTGTTCTTTAGTGACCTTTCAAGCCGGTTTCCTGTCACGCGTGTGACGAAAGAATGTATTTGCCAACAGAAGCCATCCATGTTCGATGTGAGCAGGGAGATGGGGTCCAGCGTGGCTCTGTACAGCAGGAAGGTCCTGATTCAGACCAAAGCTACTGACATTTTGCCCAAGTGGCTGCGCTTCCTTCGAGGTTTGTTCCTCCTCAAATGCTTCTAGCATGCTCTGTATTTTTTTCTTCACACAACACTTTGCAGAATGTTTTTGTTTTGTTTTTAGGTGTGGTGGACAGCGAGGACATCCCTCTGAATCTGAGCAGAGAGCTGCTGCAGGAGAGCGCCCTCATCAGGTACAGTAGCAGTAATGCAGCTGTTTTAGAAATAAGGTTGGTTTAATGAAGGAAACGTACTGTAATTTCCATATCTGTATTTTTATTGTGGAACTTACTCTTCATTAATCAAATAACAGACCCTCAGTTCAGCCTGTCTCAGGCCACATCTGCATACATTTGCATTTTAACGGGGCGATCGTGGCTCAAGAGTTGGTAGTTCGTCTTGTAATCGGAAGGTTGCCGGTTCGAGCCCCGGCTTGGACAGTCTCTGTCGTTGTGTCCTTGGGTAAGACACTTCACCCGTTGCATACTGGTGGTGGTCAGAGGGCCCGGTGGCGCCAGTGTCCGGCAGCCTCGCCTCTGTCAGTGCGCCCCAGGGTGGCTGTCGCTACAATGTAGCTTGCCATCACCAGTGTGTGAATGTGTGTGTGAATGGGTGGATGACTGGATATGTAAAGCGCTTTGGGGTCCTTAGGGACTAGTAAAGCGCTATACAAATACAAATATAAGCACAAATACCATTTTAAAACGGTGTTTTAAAAAAGGGACTGAATTATCTCCAACACGCCTGTAACCACGCATCTCATTGACCGCTCACCTTCTTCTGGAAACCGCTCCACACAGAGTTTCGTGACCCCAGAGGAAACGACTATAGTTCGTTACAAAAAAAATCTCCTCTAAAATATGCATGTGCAAAATCAAAGCCATGATGGTAACCTGTGCTTTGACTATGCATTAAAATAGACGTTTGACATCACTACAGCATATCAGCAAGAAGACTGACCCCTTACACTAAATCCGTGCAGTCAATTTTTCTGTTCTTCGCTTGCTCTCCCCTCGATGTTTGCTCATTTCTCTACCGTCTCCTTTCTTTAGGAAGCTTCGTGATGTTCTGCAGCAGAGGGTGATCCGCTTCCTGCTGGACCAGAGCAAAAAGGAGCCAGAGAAGTACAGCAAGTTCTTTGAGGACTACGGCCTCTTCATGAGGGAAGGCATCGTCACCACACAGGAACAAGATGTCAAGGTTTGCACCAGAGCTTTGCATTGAAATGACACAGAACTTTAAAGGTTAGCAGAAACACTTTGAGTCTGAGTCACGCTCCGTGCTCTCGCTCTTTGTAGGAGGATATCGCAAAGCTGCTGAGATTCGAGTCGTCGGCTTTGCCGGCCGGGCAGCAGACCAATCTGATGGAGTACGCGTCCCGCATGAAGGCAGGCACGCGTAACATCCACTACCTGTGTGCCCCCAACAGACATCTCGCAGAGCACTCCCCCTACTACGAAGCCATGAAGCAGAAGGACATGGAGGTAAGACTTGGACTCGAGTTAGCCAGCAGCCGGGTAACCCGAGCTGATCATTATCCTGATTAATTAACAACAGATGCTGCTTATAGCTTCACTATAACAAACTGCCGTGTCTCCATTTGCGTGCGTGCACGTATGCAGGTGCTCTTCTGCTACGAGCAGTTTGATGAGCTGACCCTGCTGCATCTCAGAGAGTTTGACAAGAAGAAGCTGATCTCAGTCGAGACCGACATCGTGGTCGATCACTACAAGGAGGAGAAGTATGAAGACAGCAAGCCAGGTGTGCCCATCTTTCACAAGAGCCTCTCGCTGTTGCAGCTGTAGACTTGACTCCTGCTCATCGTCTTTTCTTCCTCGCAGCATCCGAGCGCCTGACGCAGGAGCAGGCTGACGACCTCATGGCCTGGATGAAGAACTCGCTTGGACCCCGTGTGACTAACATAAAGGTAAGAGAGGAACATTTGCATGCCTGAGATACCTGAAATGACTGTTTCTGAATTCGGCTGATGGGTTCTTAGAGGCTTGTTGGTCGTCTCTATCTGCACCTTCGATCGCTTTGTTTCCTTTCTTTTTTGTCCTTTTTCTTTCTGCACAGTTGTAGATTTGTAAAGTTTTGTGGGAAGAGCATGAACTTTAGGTCCTGAAGAAGGGTATGATGGGAAAAGTTAAAGAAACACTTTTCTAAGTGCTGGTTAAATCAGATTGGGAGCCGTGGTGAATGATCGGCTGATTTCCTGTCACAGACTCAATTTTAACCGTCGCGTCGGTAAATAAAAAACAATGATGTGGAAGCTTGCTTGTGTGACTAATTCTGACACAGTTAGGGCGAGTCGTACCTTAGTTTTTACCTTCGTAAACAGATTAGAAGCCAACATCTTCACAGAAGCGCCAAAGCTTCACCTCAAGAATTTCAGGATGAAATCAGCTTGAAAATGTGATTATTTGTGAGTTTGACTCAGCTTATAATGTGAACAAATGAGAGACATCAAAGTTCAGCATAACCAGGCTTTCTTTGGCTCAACAAAACCTAAAACCCCAGGTGGAGATAACGGGTATCACTACAGGAGTAATCAGCTTTCTGCTTCAGGCTCTGTATGAGGAGTTTTGTGGGTCATGGGACTCTTCTGTCACACAGTGATCAGTATGAGTAGTGCCTGCTCTAATCACAGATGTTATCAGAGGGTGATAATGAAATGGTGATTAAAAATCTATAAGGAACATAAAACTATCACAAAAAGGACGAGACAGTCAGAGCAGAGGACAGAAGATCGTTAATCAGAGGACAGGAAATCAGCTGATTGGATTCTTCTCTGTACAGAGTAGTAATAAAAACATTTTAATTTAAGTTAATCATTTTAATTGGTTAATTATTATCAGTGCTAATAAGGTGATGGCTGCACATTAAAGCCCTGAAACTTTAAACTACATTTAAACATTTAAGGTGACTGTCACACGGCATGGGAATCGATTTGGCTGAAAACGATTTGGCACATTAGAATCAGGTATCACATCATCACCTGTGGCGGCAGACGGCCGCCCCTCGCTGAGCCCGTTTCTGCTGGAGGCTTCTTCCTGTTAAAAGGGAGTTTTCCTTCCCACTGTCGACAGAGTGCTTGCTCACAGGAAGTCACCTGATTTTTGGGGTTTTCTCTGTAATTTTGCAGGGTGTTTAACCTTAACTGTTGTTGGGATTTGGTGCTATATGAATAAAACTTTAAGGGAAATGAACATGTACACATTTCCTGCATCATTAAATGGACATTCAGTAACAAAGGGCGTCACAGCTTGTCCTTGGTTTTGGTAACAACCATTTCATCTTAAGCACCTTGAGAAACAGATTTAAATGTCTCTTTGTTACCACCGTGTGCTGTAGTTAATTTTCTCCTCTGGCACTTTAGCTGACGCCTCGTCTGGACACCCACCCGGCCATGATCACAGTGCTGGAAATGGGCGCCGCACGCCACTTCCTCCGCACCCAGCAGCTGGCCCGCACTGCTGAGGAGAGAGCCCAAATACTGCAGCCCACACTGGAGATCAATGCAGGGTGTGTGTGTGTGTGTGTGTGTGGACAAATTGTACTGGGTGGAGAGTGGGAGAAAGTGGGTTTTTGTCCTCTTCTGACTGCGCTCTGCTTTCTCACAGACACGATCTGATCAAGAAGTTGTTCGCACTGAAGGACACAAACTCTGAGCTGGCTGGATTATTACTGGAGCAGGTGCTGGGCTCACAGTTATTTCATCTCTATTTGCTCTTTGCCCATTTTTTCCATTAATGATCTCTAAACAAAAAAAACAAACATGTCATATCATGATTTTTAACACTTTCCTTATATTTAGAAGAACCATAATGAAATGTGTTCTAATGAAAAAAATAAGGGCTGTGTTGTAGTGCTGTAAGATACTGCAAATTTTGGTAAATACAGGGCTAATATTGCCAATACTGATACAATAAGCATGTTATTATCAGTGTAAAACATTGCCCAGCCTTTCTCTTTAGGCAGGATGCCATTAGCTTGTTCACTGGAGAGATTTTATGCTAATTTTTTTTTAACTGGTAGCAGTGCAGCTTCTATAGTTTTACTTCTTTTATTTTTTCCAGATCTATGACAATGCCATGATCGCAGCCGGCTTGAACGATGATCCTCGACCGATGATTTCCCGCCTCAACGACCTCCTGACCAAAGCTTTAGAGAAGCACTGAGAGCTGCCTGTAGACTGGAGCATTCGCAGCAGCTCAATGGTCGATAAAGCCAGAGAACTAGACTTTGTAAAGAATACGCCACCTCTTTTCCCCTCTCAAGTCTTTCATTTCCACCGGTGCAGCAGGCGTGAAGGCTGAAACAGGAACTGCCTGAAGATTCTCCATAAATACTTCAGTGTCTCTACGCTTTGTGTTCTTTGGTCCTGCCATTAACAGGACATGAAGGTCATGGTTGCACCCGTCTGTTGTTACAGTGTGACTTTGCCATTACGCTCACTCTTAGTGTACTTTCAGTTAATAGTCAGGCTCATTGTTAATCACATCATGAATACTCCAGGCTTCTCAGTGAGCGCTGAACTCATCTTAAATATCTGATATTTTTCCAAGTTTGGATTTATAAGGAAGCTTTATTGGTCTTCCTTTTGGAAATGTGCCACTAAGTTTCCAGATAATCTGGTTTTTCAGAATAACAACCTCGTCTTTGAGGTACAAATTTTGTGCAGAAAAACGTTCTTTGTCCAGCTCAACAACAAGGAAATAAATAAACAAGTAAATCCTCTGCCAAGGCCAGATTTTAGCCAACGTGATCCAAATCTGCACCGAAATTCAAAGTGTGGGGAGGTTTTGCCCATGTTCCACCTCTCAGCACATTTGAAATTCAGCCTGGTAGTTTGTAATCTTTTGCTGTTCTCACTTTTTTTTGCTTGAACCATTTTTCTTATGCTCTTGTTTAGTTTTGTGGTGTTAAAATGTTTCTGAGCAGCTGTTTGCGCTCGTACTCGGAGACTCTGCTGCATTCAGGAAGCGGTAAACGTCATTTCGAATAGTGTGAGGATTTATGGAGGCTTGTCAGCAAATAAACACTGATTCAACATAATGCCAGGTTAAAGAAATGAAGCTGTAATCTGGAACTTCTTTAAAATACAATTTTACTGCATTTCAAAGTAACATCTCTGCTGTGAGAGAGAAAATATAAGATGAACCTCAGTTTTAAGACTTCATCCTTCTGTGTGCAGTCTGTCTGCACGGCTGTGTGACCGCACAAGTTCAAGTGGTTCTCAGGAGTTTCTCTGTCCACCGTTATCAGCACTGTCAGTCCATTTCAACCACATGTGGGCACTTTGACCCATCAGAACTCCCGCCCAGGCTTCCTCTTCTTTTGTGAGCCGTCATCGCAGTCTCACCTCCAGACTGTCCGAGAGCATCGAATCCCAGAGGAGCGTCAGGAGAGCTTATCTATGTTTTCTAAGAAGCGTTGGGCCCACCATTCATCCAAATCTATGGGCACAAAGTCTGAGAAGAAAACAGAAATTAAACCATTAGATACATCTTTGTCCATGGTGTGGATGGTTGAGAATAAATATGTCAAAAGGATGAAAAATAAAGAATCACTAAATATTACGCGTTTCTCTTCATCTATAAATTTTCCTTACCACCTATTCAATACACTACTCCATTTAGCCCAGTGGTAATCCACTCAACCTGTGAGCTAAACCATCACAAACTGCAACAACGGCATTTTTAATGAGTCTTCAGTGCCCTCTTGTGGTCACAAGGAGGAACTGCGACGGTGTAGTATATTCAAAATAAACTCATTTTTAAATCTCATTTAAAAATGAGAAACGTAAAAACTTTAAAAATAAATACTAGCATATTTTACATCAAGCTGTCTTACATAATGCTACGATAAATATATTTAACACTGCCGACTTTTCAGTTACGTCTGCCTGCTGGGAATCTAAAGTGATCATCGCCCTCCGGTGGTCATAAGGCGGAACTGCAACAGCTCAGTCACACCACCACATTAAAAGTTGGAGAACCAACGAGTTGTATCTAATGTATTTTTATTTGACTCATCTTATTCATGATTTTTGGATTTTTGTTCTGGGCTAGAGGTCTTAGTATTATTATGATCACTGTTACATTTAAAAAACAAAAAACCTACAAATACCATTTAAAACAGTGTGTGTGAGCTTTCCCTATGCATTGCTATATTAAAATTTTAAAATGAGTCAATAGATTTGACCCGTGACTTTGGGCTATGCTATTTGGCTGTTATAAACCAGTGCGACCTACTGCACAGGTTGCAACAGTTACAGGCCTGTGAGCTGCAGCTAGATGAAATATGATTGTTACACTTGCACTAAATAAATAAAGTCTCAGGACTTTTTTGTCACAGTGCGTAAAAACACCGACTTGGGGTCTGAAGATAACACAAAAAGGAAAAACAGTAGCTGTACTCACCATCCATGTGTGGGCTGGGAGTGGCCTCTTTATAATGCACTGCTTTCTGTGCAGCCTGGCCCACCTCCTGCTGTAGCACCTCCTGCCAGGCTGAAAACACAAGACTTCGGTCAGTAAAGCCACCATGAACACCAAAATGTCCTCTGTCCAGTCCTACACTCCAGGGCCACACCCACAGTGCCTAACAAGTAAAGTCCAGCAACTGTTTCAGAGACATGCCTCTCCTGACCAATGTTTGTGTTCCAAACAGTGAAGCACGTGGTCACACACTTTGTGTGTGTGTGGTTGTACTCTACGATTAAGTTCAACTTTGACAGCTGTCTCCAGGTCACAACTTTGAGGAGCCTCCAGTGGATACGTTTGATTATACAATTTGTATTTCAGTGAACAGAAAAGAACCAATCCAACCTGAACAGAAGCCTTTGCAGAAAGGCGGTGTCAGGCCTACTTTGTGCCCTTGTCCAGTCAGTGCCAAGGTTACTCAAGTTGTTTATGAGCTGCTGTGACTGAGCTTCAATGCCAACAACAGGACACACAATGTAAGAACCACTGAGCCAAGTGGGGGGGAATCTCCTGGAGACCCGCTGGGTTTGTGAATGTTAAAAAGAAGCCCAAACTTCAAATCCGGACCAGACCCAACAATCCTGTCAGAACGCTTTGGTGCTCTTCTTTAAAGTGATGCCTAGATTTAAACCCAAAGCCTGAAATGTCATTTCTTTCAGCACATGTGCCAGCGTGGGTCAAGAGGAGATTGATGTGGGCGTGAGAGCATTTTTCTGCTTAGTGCCTATCAGTGTCAGAGCAGCTGTGTGGGTGAGGCCTCGGAGGGAAGAGGAGGGGGCTGGTTAGCATCTTGATAGTAAAACAATGTCATTCACAAAACAACAAGTGAGGGATGGGTGTCAGGATACAGTGTAACAGTGGGATAGTCTCTCACTTTCTTACCCTCAGAGACAAACTTGACATTTTCTTCATGTGACAGGGTGAAACTCTCTTCGTGATGATTGTGTGCGGGCAGAGCTGGAGCAGGGTGATGGTATTTCTTACCATTCGGACGGTTGAAAACGATCTTTGGTGCGGGAAGTCTGAAAGGGGGACAAGAGAAGTACTGTGTTGATTTCTGCCAGAAAGAAAGTGCTCATTATCATTCCCAAGCAGGAACTTTCTTAAGTGATAGCTTATATCCAAGAAAGGCTGGTTAAGCAGGAGTAAGAAGTTACAACAGCTGAATGAGGGACCTTGTGATCCAAGGTCACACACACATGAACAGGGCCAGTCTGCCTGGCTGGTTCAAACTAAAAACCAATCATAAAAACCAACAGAGTAGGCAGGCCAAGCTCAGAGAAAACCAGAGCGGGGTTTTATTCAATCACCAAGGCATCAGCTGATGAACAATTGCTGCAGTCTCTAGCTGATGACGTCCACAGCTGCTAGGACACAGTCATTCACAATCACAACCAGAAGTATCTGAAAAAACTATAATGCAATCATTTCTTTACAATTGTCTCCTTTCACGACCTGTGCACCTACCCAGGCATATTCCAGGACGTTTGTTTGTGCTTGAAATCACTGATTTTGCTGTCCAGCTGCTGTGTGGGCCCTGGAGAGCAAGACAAAGAGGATAAAACAACTTGTTATCAGCAGTCCGGAGAGGTGAAAGTGGGTTTTCCGGTGTGCCGTGCTTCGTAGTTTAGCCCCACAGTCTCACCTGTGCGTCGCTGCGTGACCAGTTTGCTGGGACCTCTTGTAATTGTGTACATCATGCGCGGGCGGCTTCACCTGTGATCCCCGAGTTCGACACTTTGAAGTGTGAAGCAAAGCACGTACATCCAAGAAGACGCTCTTCTGATGGGAGAAGCTGATCAATCCACTGAGCTGGGACACGAGAGTGTGCAAACTGTTCGGTAACCTCGTGAAGCAGAGCGCCACGCGTAAAAAAACACAACAACCCCAAAAATTAGCGACCAGTGCACAGTCAGAGTCCCGTCTCTCCGTGTGCCCCGATCACTCACGAAATGTAAGTCACTTTGGTGCTAAGGTGTCCTGGCCGGCCACAATGTCACATAACCTGAAACAGCGGCAGTCATTCGTAAGACACGAGACGCACACGGTCACCGTCTCGACGTGCCTACACGCCTCCTTTGGCGCTTTAAAGCGACAGCGTCCCCCGAGTGTGAAGTGAGACTTGCAGAGGTGTAATGAAGCTTGTTTCACTAATTTGCCTCAGGTGAGAGCGAAAATGCAGGATGATTTCACGTCATCGCGATGATTCGGCCTCAGTGTGACGAATAAGACACTAAAATCGGGTCAGATGAGTGACGTTTATGTGCTTCAACAAGCCGCAAATGCGCCAACGATGTCTGTGTTTACAGTACACACAGGTGAGCACAGGTGCACCAACAGTAACACATCTGTGGGAGGTCTCCCCCAGTTCAATTCTGAGGCTCAAAAAATTAATTTTGTGCGTTGGTCTGATATTGTTTGCAGCATTTTGCACCATTAGTGCGTCAATTCATGATTGAAATATCTTTATTTGCGTCCTGGTTTTCAGTCAGAGTGTAACCAGGTCGATACCAAGGCCTCTTTTTGTTTCTTCTGCAACCTCTTTAGGGGGAAAAAACTTCCAAATCTTTGGATGTCTGTATCTCAGATGTGTTGCAGTTAAAGACAAAACAAATACTGCTGTTTTTGATATATATTTTTTTACTTATCTTTACACGAGCACAACTCAAGTGTTCATTAAGAAAGTAAGAAAGCAAACTTTGACCCTGTAAATGAAACTATTAGCAGCAGTTGGACACAGAAACACACCTGAAACATCAGAGGAGTAAATATAATGAGTTACAGTAATGAATGAGATGTTCTGCGTGTGTCACCTCGCATGATTCATGACCCACTTTTTTCTCAGATTAAACAAAACCCTCAAACAATATAGAAATATTTGCGTTGGTGCTTCCGCTTGCACTTTTGAAGTGTACAATTAACCCATATTATCACTGTCTTACATGCAGCACAGTTTCTTGTGTTTTTGTGCAGCTGCAGGATTAAATAAACATCACATAGCAGTGACATGAGATGATCATGACAAGCATTAAATATGATGCCTAAATGTTATGTAACCACTATATACATACATTGTTGTCTCTTTAAAGGTGCAGTAAAACCTGTGGAAGATCAGCAGCACAGCAGGTAGAGCAAACGCTTATCCCTGGTCCAGGTGAGGTGGAGGTGTTACTGCCGGCAGTAGAATAAAGGTGACAAGTCTGCAGATGTTCCTTCACGGTGTAGCATGTTTGTATAGCCTGTGTGCCAGCTACAGGTAACTAGAAGAAGAGCCAGATTTTACTGGAAGTTTTCAAAAGGTGGTCTTGAGCAATAGTTCTTTGGGCTTTCTGAAGGTTTCTCAAAGTTTTTGTTTGGACTTTGGCTGCTTTTTCACTCATTTTCAGTCCAGTCCTTGTACCTGATCATTTTCAGGGGAATGGTTTTGGTTTGTTTGTTTGTTTGTTTTTGTTAAGGGACTTAACACCTGACCTATGAATAATTCCTATTGTATGTGTATGTGTCTACACATAACAGACAACTTTGCAAAGAACCCATTTGAAATTGTGTGTTTAGGCACTTTGTTTCTAGCAGATATAAAATAGCATTTTTGCACCAACAAGGTGATTCCCAAACAGCCAAAAACAGAAAAATCCCAGCATGGTGTGCAGCCAGTCCTTACAGCATTTGAGGAAGCTGGACAAGTGCAGGATAAAAGAAGATGTAGTCGTTTCTAAAAACTATATATATATATATATATCTACAGCATCTGTAGATATATATATGAGCAGGAACAGTACATGAACAGTATGTGAAAGTCATCTTCTTAAGACATAGGAAAGAAAATTCAGGTTTGATACAGAACCTGAGAGATGCATCTGAACCTTCAGTTGAGCCATCTGCTGTTCACTGAACGCTCATCAGAAATGGTCTCGGTGAAAGGACGGTGGTCACGGAGCCATTCGTAAGGAAGGGAAAAGAGGAGAAAAGGCTGAGGTATGCTGAACTACACAAGAACTGGACTGAATGATGTGGACAGCATGACAATGATCCCCAACACACTCCCAATGCAGTAAAAACAACATGGATAACATACAATAGGAAACTCTCGGTCATGGATTGGCCTCTGCAGAGCTCGAGCCTCAACTTTACTGAAGCGTCTTGACACAAAAGGCAGAAACATCCAAAGAAGAGCTTTGAATGTCCTTCTAGAAGCCTGGGAACTACTCCTGAAGATTACTCGAAGATATATAAAGCTCAAGACTTTTGCACAGCACTGTAAACCGGTGTATTTCTGTGGAACTGGTTGGCATCACAGAATTAGCTAGCACCAAACTTTATTCCATTTTATGATTTATCTTTCAGTATTATCAACACTCTCACTTTATTATATAGGACTTTTAGGATTATTAAAAGGAAAAATGACGTGTGTTGCTATTCTTTAAAAATAAACTGCACTGGTTATGAATCTGGCTGATCTCCACCTAAAAGTCAGCTCCTCAAGAGGCGCTGCAGCACTTCAGTCGTGACCACTCGTTCTTGTGCCTCTTTGATTTCACTACACACCATGCACGCTCATCATTTTTGCAGCACCGAGCAGGTTTTGAGCTGTGACTTTTCCCATCCCAGGCTGACACTGTTCACTCTGAGGTGTACTGTGATGTCCTGAGATTTCTGAGGGAATTCAAGTTGAAGGGTCACCATTTTGACACAGAGGAGATTTATGGAAGAGCAAGAGGACTTCCTAAGGAGGCTGCCTTGAAGGGGAGATTAACCACTTTAAATCGGGTATGGTTTTTATTTACTTGTACGCAAGAGTAGAAATGAATGATTGCACTTCTTAATTATACCCTTTGTCAAACCAACGAGTTTCTAAGATCTAATTTGGTTATATTGAGAACCTGTAAGTCTGGAAGATTTCTGTGTGTGTGGCTGTGTGGTATCGCTCAATAATGAGGATCACAGTCCTCCAGCAGACTGTCAGTCATGTAGCTGATCTTCAGCAGGTTTTGGTAGTACTCCTTCTCCACAGCAGTGTTAACAGTCCAGCCCACCACCTCCACTCCTCGCTCTGCCCAATACTGAACATAGTCCCTGATTGAAAGGAAAGAGAACAAACTCAATTGTGCAATTCTCACGCAACAAAAATATTTTAAAAATCGAAAACAAAAAACACTAAATATGAAGTTAATCATTTATGAGTAACAGATGAATCAAAACCACCTTCCTGTTGGTCACCGTTGGTCTGCAACAACAGAGTCTACGGCAAAATAAACTACCTGTCAACTCTCAATTACCGTGAGATGAAGTCTTTCTGCACAAGAATGGCAGAGATCCCACAAAGTTTCCACAGTACGCGATGGTGGGCCCAGTCCAACAAGACGTCCAGAACACCGGTCCACAACTGGCTCCACGTCGACAGAGAACGAGGCGTGCCGTCTCCAAAACGGCTCAGTCTCCAGGGCCGGTGGGTGAGAGCTGTGATCACATGGGGGTCAGTCTGACGCATCTGCGGACCAGAAGAGGACAAAGGTCAACACAGTGCAGGTTTTAGTAGTTAATAGAGCCTTTTATTTCGTTTAAACAAATACAGTGGATTGAATGACATCACTGCCTCCATAAAACTGAGAGGCTGATTATGAGAAACTGAAATCACTCACAGAATTCCTCCTCCTCAACATTATCCTAAAGCGTTATGATTAGTGTTGTTTTTGACTGATTTTCATGATTAGTGTAATTCAGGAATTTTTGAATTACCTTGTAGATGACTTTGGGTTCAAAGGAGGAAACGACGCTGGAGTTGTAAAGCACCGGGAACTTCTTAAACATGTTATGAAGCACTGATACAGCCTGTAAAGCAGGGGAATGAACAACACAAGTACTATAACTGTGCGGTAACGTCAGTCTCTTTCTTTTTTTATTACAATCATTGCATTAGTTCAGCTAGCATGTAGTTTTTCTCTTTTCTTCGAGAGCCTTGTATGTATGTTGAGCAATGTATCCATAAGCCTGTTAGGTTAGCGCTTAGTGTATGTAGTACCATATCAGGTTGACCTTTGACATCAAAGAAGATGGTCAGCTGGTGCCTGATGCATTCCTCCACAGCTTCCTGCAGAGTTGGAACCTTCTCTACATTAAATCTGTCCCTGCAAATGAAAAGAAACCATTGGAAAACTGACATAACTCCCTGTTCTTACTGGTTACTGGTCTATGAACTACATCTGTAAGCATTGTATACATACAAGTCATTGTAAGCATACATGTCTGTATTTATATACAGACATGTATGCTTACAATGAGCATAAATGTCTCATTGTAAGCATAAATATAGATGATTTCTTTGAGCTGTTCTTTTTCCAGGATGATTTCATATTACACATCTTTAATGACTTTGAAAGCAAGAAGTGGGTACACAAGTTTGAATTTATTTTGGATTTTCTCTAATCCACACATGGTCAAAAGTATAGAAACACACCCACTAATATTTGGTTAAATGTTCCCAGTAAGTTGCACCTCAAACAGATGCCTTTGGTAGCAATAAACAAGTTTCTTGCTTCTAACTCAAACTGGATATTTGAACACTCCTCTTGACTGAATTGACAATCTACAAGTATAACTGGCAGCAAAAGAGCCCCAGAGCTTGATGCTACCACCACCATGCCTGAAATTTGGTATAGTGTTCTCAGGTTTGCAACCACAAGACATTTGACTCATCCGTGTGGAAAGAAGCAAGAATAAAGGTGTCATTTTTGGAGCATGATGAGTGTATGTAAGCTTTTTGACCACAACTGTATACATTCCATTAGTTTTATTCCAAGTCTATGAAAAGAGATGCACTACTAAATCATTTTGTTAAAAAATACACATATAGACAAAAATAAGGAGGAAAAAAAGACAAAAAGAGAACCGAAGATTCTGCATTTCTAAAACTGTGAACTTTTGGTGAAACACACTTCTAAGACTCCTCATTGAGCAGCTTATTGTTCACAAACACTTTCCTCTTTTTAATTAGCCTAAACACACTTGAATCACTGATCAATAGGCAGCCTACTTCATCCTGTGGTGAGCAGCAGCATTGAGTCTCCTGAGCTGAACAAACTGAAGTTTGCTGATTGGTCCAGACCCATTGGTGGTTCGGTCCACGGTCTCATCGTGCATCAGGACTGGGACTCCGTCGGCTGTGAAACTCAGGTCCAGTTCCACTCCGGTGGCCCCGTTCCTACTAGCCTAGAGCAGATGTAATGGGACAGAGAGATACTGCGTGAACCAATGTATGATTATATACATGGATGGATGAATTCTGCTGTCCAGAAGACAGATAAGATGTTATCTTGTTTATATTTTTGTCCGTGGCTCATTGCTTCATACTCATAAAAAGCTGAAAACCAGCCTGTTGAAATAAAAGAAGCATCTCATCCAGAGGTTTAGGCATCTGGATAGATGCTAGGAAGAGAAGGCATTGTGAGATGGAGAGCAGATCTTCATCATAAAGATGGCATCAGATTATAAACAGCACAGGAGCAGAATCAGGTGCAAGATGAGTCTGACCTACTTCTACTTATTTCTAACCCCCCCAAAGCCGGTGAAAACACCAAGAAAACCTGCTTTTACTGCAAAAGTAACAGCGACAGCATGTCTCAGCAATGGCTTTTAACCCAAGGGGCTGTTATTCCAGATAACACCATAATTAAATGTCCCTGCACCTGTCATTTGCTGCAGGTAGATAAGAGACAAGAGGCCTGTGGTTATAAATCAGAGCACTACAGCTCTCCAGCTCTCACCTCTCTGATCGCTGCCAAGGTGTTCTCCGGAGCGTCGTGGCTTCCTCCGCGGTGCGCCACCACCGGGACGCCGCCTCCTGAGGAGAGAGCGCCGGGCCGCAGGACTCGAGCGGCCCGGTCCGCCGGCACCGGAGGGAAGCGGAACATCACCATGAAGATGTAGAGAAACGCGGTGAGGAGGGTGGCCCAAGTGGCGCTTCTAGTTACCAGTACAACCAGCAGAAACACCACCGAGAAATACACCACCTCATCTCCGATCTGCAGCATGGTGAAAGAACACAGGACGGGATGTTTGTGTCACGGCCGGCTGGGTCGATGCAAAAGTCGCTGTTTAGACACACGGCATGGATGGAGGTCTGCTATCAGTACGCGGGTGGCTACATGTTGGAGGCAGATCTCAAATAGATGAGCGAGAATCAGCAGATTGTGAAAAGGATGGATACAGGAGCGCTGCTCTTATCAGTGTGGTGCTGCAGAAATCTATAATGTCCTATTTAAAGAATCAGATTTCATGAAATATAACCTAGATTTAAACATCCAATTAAGTCGGTTTGGACAAATATAAGAAAAGCTTATGTGCTTTTATTTTGAAGGCAAAAATCACATGACCAGTTCCTCTGACCGGTTTAGTACAAACAGGATATGCACAAACAACCACACATACACCATTTTTAAAACATTTTTCTTAAAATCAAACAGAGCCAAATGAGTGCAGCGCGAGGAATGAATGCAGAACACAGTAAATTAAGGAGACACTGTACATGAATAAAAAGAAATTATTAAAAAATCTTTTTCTTCTTTTTAAAAGAAAATTTAGTCATAAAACTCATAGTACTTTAGAACAATGGTGAGGTAATGAACAGCTCTTGGAAATGTTTTCTACTCTTGCTAAAAAACAAACAAAAACAGTTAAATAGACTTCAAAGAACAGAAAGTGAACACGTTTTTCACAGTTAAGGCACAAACATCTGTCTCAGTTTCTCCGTGTGCAGCGTCACTCCGTGCAGCTTGCTGTGGACTCTGTGGGCAGTGAGCTGATGTGCTGGAGCAGCTGATCGCAGTAGACAGGACTTCGCTGTTTGTCCCGGACAGCCTCCACCACCTCCTTCAGAAGTGCAGGGTGCACCGAGCTGCCTTTCTTCAGGATTTCTGCACACATGCACACACACACACACACACACATAGAGAGAAACAAATTCAGAAAGACAGCACACATAAAAGTCAGCATTCTGGATTTGAGCTGAACATCAAATACTTAAAAATTTGGGCCCAAAAATAAACATCTCCCATGATCTTCATCATCACTCTACACTAAATAACAACAGCGAGCTGATGCTGTCACTCAGTGAGGAGTGACAGTTTTAACAGTCTCAAAGCCACCTATAATATTTGCACCATCATACTTAACAATTGGCACGCTGTACTTCTCCTAAAGTGCTGCCTCACATTTATCTGTGAACATAAAAATAACTCAGTTTAAAGCTTTAACTACTGGCTGGATGTGTTTTTAAAAGCACTCTGGCTCATCAAGATGCTGCACATCTCACACAAATTGCAGCTAAGGTTTCCTTCCAGCATGTTTCCTGCCAGGAAGAAATTCTGACATTCCCACCCCAAAAAGTTTTAGCCAGACCCAAAGCAAAAATCTCTTTCCCCCATCCAACTTATAATAAGCTATTTTTAAAAACCTTTACAAAACCATATTGCACATTTTTGTTCAATAAATAGTCACAAAAAAGAAAGAAATGCACTGATTTCTGTCAAACAAGGTAACAGATTGATGATGTGCAGTTTTTTTTCATTTTGTTTTTGCACTTCAAGCTTTTGCAGTAAAGAGTAGACAAGAAAGAGTCGGAGAAGATACTTAGCAACGGACTGCAAGTTGGATTCGAACCCTGGACGCTGTACAGCCATGGGGATATGGGCACCTTCTCAACCAGTGAGCTAAACTAGCACGCACTGATGCGCAGTTTTAATCTGAATATTATAATAATAATATTATACATATATATATATATATATA